TCCAGGGGAGGTAGAGGAGAGAAGAGAGGAAAGGAGAGGGGGTACCGTCGTAGAGATAATGTGTAAGGAGTTTCAGTGTTGCAATCGACCTTGGCTGTTTCAACACAAGGACCGTGGAGCACGCTGCATCACATTAGCAGCGAACCAGAGCGACGTCTCGAGTGTTAGTATTCGGTGGAAGTCCTTCCGAAAGGTCTCTCTCGCATGGCAGGAGGAGAAAGGTGAGGCCAGTTCCGATGACGAGGCACAGCGCAGGAGACAAGCCCAGCGTTGAGACGTGGTTAAAGGTGCTTATTCCCTTTGTGTGTCGAGGGTGCGTGCGGGTACAGGCCATGGGTATTGTGAGTCATCCTGCGTTTCCCGACTCGTGTCTGACTCGACGCTCTCTCTGGATTGTGACGGCCTCACACATTCGCAGACTCAGGGCGGTGACTTCTTGTTCAGCCGCGTGGCTCGCCGGGCACGTCCCACCGGCACTCTCACAGGATGCCGAGACATCGTGGCGGATCTCGGGAATGGATCAAGGCGCACTTCGGTGAGCTCCGTTATGATGCTGACCACCGCTTTACTCTCTCTCTCTCTCTCTCTCTCTCTCTCTCTCTCTCTCTCTCTCTCTCTCTCTCTCTCTCTCTCTCTCTCTCTCTCTCTCTCTCTCTCTCTCTCTCTCTCTCTCTCTCTCTCTCATATCCACTCCCCTCCCTCTTGCTCTGATAAGACCGGACGTGCCTCTCGTGTGGCGCTGCGGTACAGGAAACACTGCACTAGCCTTGGAGGATTAGATCTCGAAAGGAAAGGAGAGAGAGGTGGAAGAAGAGGAGGAGGAGGAGATGACGACGACGACGAAAAAATGACAAAAGATGGAAGTCAAATCTGTTTCGGAGCCAAGTGAAACCGTCATCATCACTTAAAGAAAGTCTTAGGAAAGCCCCAAATGTGATAGGTTTATCGGAGAATGAGTGAGGGTGCGAGCGAAGACCAGAAATAAGGGGGGAGGGGTCAGAGGAAGGGTTTTCCCAGGTGTCTCTCCAATGGTCCACCGGCCAACCGCAGTCCAGGTGAGAGAAGTTTGGCCGTGTGAGAAAAATGCTAGAAAGTAAAAACAAGGTCAAATAAAAGTCATGTATGGAAAGGATAGAAAGTAAGGGGAGACGAAAAATAGAAAGCGTATTAATCAATTGAAAGAAAGAGAAAGAACAGGGAGGGAGAGCTGGGGAAGGGAGAAGTCCAGTGCGAGCTAGCGAACTGGGTAGGACTGCGGCGGTGCGGGAGACGCTCACATACCACTAGGGATGGATCAGATTCTCGATTCTTTCGGAGCGGAAAGTGTCGCAATCTTGTTTAATGCGCTTCTCGTTTCTCATTCCAAATAGATTCTCCTCCATCTTAGTAATGGCCCCGATTGGAGCCTAAAGAGTTGGGTGGGAGGGACCAAGGGCCAAGGACTAAGAGCCAAGGGCAGAGAAAAAGGAAGAGGAATTGGCAGTAAAAAGTGGGATCGGCATCGTCTCATTTGTAAGATGACAGTTAGGCGATCAGGTACACCGGTGGTTGTGCGTGGAGAGGAGGAACTCTTGCCTGCACAGGTGGGGGACGTTTGGACATTGCGATTTGTGTGTGTGTGTGTGTGTGTGTGTGTGTGTGTGTGTGTGTGTGTGTGTGTGTGTGTGTGTGTGTGTGTGTGTGTGTGTGTGTGTGTGTGTGTGTGTGTGTGTGTGTGTGTGTGTGTGTGTGTGTGTGTGTTGTGTGTGTGTGTGTGTGTGTGTATGTGTGCGTGTGTGTGTGTGTGCGCGAGCGAGCGTCAGCCTACCTGTTTGTGTGTACATCTTTTCATGTCTGTCTGTCTTTAGCTCTGTCTCCGTGTTTCTTCCTCTTCGTTTATATACTTGTTTGTTTGTTTAGCGAAACTCGTGCGTATTCTATCAGCATGTGGGCGCGCATGCGTGTATTTCCTCCTGACCAGGTGTGCTTTGCGTAGATATTGAAATGAGATTCCATTGAAATGTGCCTCAATATTGCTTTTAATTATGTGCCTAGTTCGATTTTGAATGCATTTCAATGTAATTCTGCAATTACAGAGTAATTTTGTTTTCTCGGATAAAGATAAGGGGATTAATAATGATGTTCTGGTGAACAATTGTAATTGACTGTGTAGTATCTTTATCGTCAGTGCCGTAACCATGATTAAGGGGGTTTAATTATTAACAGAAGACACACACGCAAATAAACAAATACAGACAAGGAAACACCCACGCATCCACCCACCCACGCAATCATCAGACACTACCCTACACACACATACACACACACGAACACGAACACATGATCACATATAAATAGCAATGGTATAATGGAAAGATAAGACACGTAGGCATCGTCCCCGGATGTGTCACTTCCGGTGTAAGTGGAGGAGTCATAGCAGCCTCACGGAGTCAAGTGCGAGCGGTTATTTGCGTGTCAGAAGGTTTACTGTGCATTACCTTCCAAAGTGAACCTCCCTCTTAAGTGCACTTCCCGAACAAACGCAGCTTTTACAATCAAGCTTAGTGATGATGACATCCCTCTGATGCTCACCGTCCTGGGGGAGAGGTATTAGGGAGAAGCCCAAGGTAAATAACTCTTGGGTGAAAAGATGTCAAAATGTCACGATGTCTACGTCAGACAGAGGGAGAGGAAGAGAATTAGAGAGAGAGAGAGAGAGAGAGAGAGAGAGAGAGAGAGAGAGAGAGAGAGAGAGAGAGAGAGAGAGAGAGAGAGAGAGAGAGGAGAGAGAAGAGAGAGAGAAGGAGGCAGGGGGAGATGGAGGTCGTAGAGGGACTTCAGGTACACCGATACTGTTATGATCTTGACGTCGCGTGTCTCGCCTCATCATCTTCATCGGAGGCAGGTAGCAGGGAAGGGGGGGGGGGTTGGGGCGGTCGACGAGGGGGGGGTTTAGGGGGCGAGGAAGAGCTTGGAGGTTTAGACACCCTCAGGTTTTTAGCCTAGGGAGAGAAAAAAAACTGTCTTTGGGATTATTTTTTTTTTTTTTTTTTAGGGGGAAGGAGGGTGTAATTTGTGGATTAAGTGATGTGTGTGATTCTTTTTTCATGTACATTTTGATTCTCCGTCGGACGCAGGTGTCGAGTGACAGATGGGTGTGTTGATGAGTAGCAGCGGTGCAGGTAGCATCTCTGCTTTAACCACAGGTGTGTGAGAGGGAGGGGAGAGGGGAGGGGGGAGGAGGGAGGAGGAGGAGGGATTTCGAAGCACAGACACCCACACCCACCCACCTGCCTCATTTCATCCTTTTTTCATCCCTCGCACTTCTTCCACTTATAATCTTCCTTCCATATTCCATCGAGTTGTCTTGTGTTTCCCTTTTCTTTCATCCCCACCCGTACATATTGCCCTTGAGGTAATATGTCGATTTGTCTCATGTCTTCGTTTTTTTTTTTCCATCCCTACCCCATCATCTTTAGCCGCTTACCCGTCTTCTCCCGTTCTTCCTCCCCCTCCCTCTCTCGGCCTGTGTCTTGTTTCCCTTCCCCCCTAACCCCCCTCCCTCCCGTCATTTTATTCTAATCGCTTCTCCACTCCATCATGTATTTCTGACGAAGATATATTCGAAGCCGGTCAAATACATCTCTTGTATTGTGAAGATGTTCATTCTCATTCATATCTTTTCCACATACATTTCTCCAAATCAGTCTTTAAAGTGAAAAGCTCCGAATTTTCTCATTTTAAAAAGTATTATCGAGCAGCGGACTTTCTGTGTATTTGTAGATGTTTGCTTTACCTTTGCAATTACAAAAGAATATATGATCGTGATGCTGCGCCTCTGGGTGTTACATATCGACATTTTGATTGTTTGTGAGACGTTAAGAGGTAATTCCGAGGTAATATGTCCACTTAGAGGGAAGAAAATATTATCTATTCCTTGGAAAAATAAAAGTGTATGCCAAATTTACTCAAAAAAATAGTGAGCCAAGAATCAGAAGATGAAAAAGTACATTGATTCTGTCGTCCTTGATCCGTTGCCCATGCAGAGGTATTCGATATGTAGTACCTAAGCAAGAATTGATGAGGATTTCATAGGCATTGCATTTTTTGTGAATGGGATCAGCTGACGGGGCGGAGAGTAAGGCGGTGGCTCGCTCGCCTCCTCTCCACGAAGGTGTCCTCTCGTTGACGATTTACATGTGTGTGTGAATGAGTGAGGGAGTGAGGGAGGATGTGCATATGTGTGTATATGTATATGTATATTTGTGCCTCTGTGTGTGTATATGTATATGTCTATGTATATTTGTGCCTGTGTGCGTGTGTGGGTGTGTCTTATGTTTGTGTATGTGTGCGGTGAAATTATCATTCGACCTTTGTTGTGCTGAGTGGACAGAGAGTGCGTAGGAGGAGGCATTGAGGCAGGTGCAGGAGGAGGATGAGTTGGAGGTGCGAGTGGGGGTGGAAGGGGGAGGGTCAATAGGAGTGGGAGGTCTCGTAGACACACCATGTTACCACTTTGCTTCTTAACTCTCGCATACCTTCACGCTTCTTTGTCGTTATGTCGTCTTAGGTTGGAAAAGGGAGAGAAAGAAAGAAAGAAAGAAAGAGAGAGAGAGAGAGAGAGAAAGAGGTTGAGTGTGAAAACAGAAATAAAGACACGCCGTTGATAAGCAAAGACTGAAAGACTAACGAACTGATAATCACGAGCAGAAACAGAGAAGTATATGAGTAATAAGTGACTCTCGATCCGCCCCATTACAAAGCGCCCACTCTAATGCGCGGCAAGATAGCGCATCTGTGCTTGTTCGAATGGAAAGGGGATATGAGTGGAGAGAGAGAGAGAGAGAGTGAGAGAGAGTGAGTGTGAGTGTGAGTGTGTGTGTGTGTGTGTGTGTGTGTGTGTGTGTGTGTGTGTTTGTGTATTTCCTTGCTTATACCATCGTCTGCGCATGTGTGCGTTCTTATGAGCGAGTGGGTGCGTGCGCTTGTGTGTGAGTGAGCGGGACGTGCCACTACCCATGCCAGTCAGCGCCTTGGCCTCGCCGCAGTCTCGTGGCAGCCGTGCGGTCCGCTCCGTGACCCAGCCAGCGCTTGTGTTTAGTGTGCGAGTGTCTCCCGGCGTGCGTTGGTGTTTTGTTGTCGCGGCGCAGCTGTTGGTGATTCGCTCCCAACGCGACTTGGTGACTGACTCGCATCTCCCTCTCTCAATCTCATTCCCCGTCTCTTGTCTCTTTCTCGCTCCTCTTACATTGTGTCTCGTCTTTGTGCCGACGGGAGAGGAAAGTCCCGTGTCTTCGTACTTGAATACCGAGTTGAGTGTCTCTGCGAAAAGTGTGTCACAAGCCAGCTGTGTAAACAGTATCTTCAGACAATTTCTTTTAAGGGAGCATACATTAGGCTCCCTCGTTAGTGGTAAGTGCCGAGATGGTCTGAGGATCTCAGTTTTTTTCTTAATTGTTCATGTGTAATTATTTGACGAACTTTAATAAGTGTGGGTATATTAGAATAATTAAGTTTTCATGTGAAGAGGACAAGGAATGTGTAGTACTTTTAGATAAATTAATTTGGTATTATCTGGAGAAAAAAAACTTGATCACAGATACCTGATTCTGCTCCTCTTAAACAGCTAACAGAGAATTAGGTCCACCTGTTAGTTCATTGATTTTTTTTTTATTCCCACACTCCCCCCACCCCATTCACTTCTCCCTTGTGCCCTGCATTCCCTTCGTGGTGACCGTGAAAGAAAATCCTGTACGCCGTGTGTTGTGAAACGGACATGTGACTTACCTTGTTGGCGAGTGAAATCGGGTTTCGGTGTATCCGGTGAACGGGATCTAATCTCGAGGGAGTTTTCCTCACCCTCCCTCTCACTCCCTCACCATCCCCCTCCCTCGTTACCCCCCGGTTGCCAAGGGGGTAGGGGGCGGTGTCGCCTCTGCCACTTGCCACTTGTTGAGGGGCTGTTGAGTCGTGATTGTCATGCAGTGCGATTTATGATTTAGCTTCTATTGCATGTAAAAGGATGCGATAGGTTTATTTACACGCGTCTGGGTTGTCTAGTGATATTTTTCGAGGAATCCATCTCTCCGTCTCGATGGCATTGTAACTCCCGGCGGCGTTATCAGTGATGATGGCTTTTACTCCTCATGGCGGCGGCGTGTATGATACAGATACTCGATAAGACCATAATAAGGGTTGGGGCTTTCTTTGTATTGTCGTTATCAGGCGTTAAGATAAAACTTGACAACAGGCGATTTCCTAAATCCGGTTGTCGTGAGGCATGATATGACAGCTATCAGTAAGGACTAACGGCTCACCTCTTAGTTTGTTTTATTTCTTTGATTGACGGAATAACTCCAATCATATAATTGTCTTGTATAGTTTGAAAGATTAGGGTTCATTGGATTTAAGGTAATTGCATTGTCGCAGCTACATGATATTACAAAAGTGATTTTCAGTAGTATCCTTGAAATAGAATTAAGCCAATCTCAAGAAGCTAAGGAGGAGGAAGTGGATGAAGGTGGGGCGGGCTTTCAATAGCGACGGAACCCCCTTTGATGTCTGGCGGCGCGAAGTCCGGTCGTGCCCAATCTGTTTCGGTCTGTCAGTCCTCGACCAGGTGTTGATAGAGGTAGATGGGAAGGTGCACTTCTTCAATGAGTGTATTGATTGTGATGGGACTTCTTGTCTGATTTAAGTAGCCTGAAGTGATATAATACGGCGAGGGTTAGGTGGGGTGAGGCAAAGGTCTATATAGGTATAGACGTTTGGTGAAGGCGCATGACCAGCTGGCAGTTACATGTTTCTAATGGCCGTTGGTTTTGCTAGTCATAGCAAAAGCAGCGGTGTTTTATGTTTTAGTTGAGCAGGGAGGTATTGCCTACAAGCACCACATACATGTACAAGTATATTGTAAAGCTTACGTCGTTAGGTCTTATTGTCTAGCTGGGAAAATGAAGTTAATTTAAGCGTGTCGTTCTCTTGCAGGTGACTGATGTAAACTAAACCGCACGAGAAGTAGCACAGCGCACGCATCTTCTCCCAGAATTTTAAAAAAAGGAAAAGAAATGAAGATGGAATTATTCCTCGCGTTTCCTGAATGTATTAGACGGACGGGCCATCTGGTGGCCACATATTTTTTTTAAGCATTTGAGTTAATTACAAGCTTGTCTGAGGCGGCAGCGACAGAGGCGGCGTTGCTGTGTAGACTGGGGCTGAACTGGATATTAATAGACGAAAAATACACTGGGTAATTGATAAAGGATACGTCTTTGCCTTTTAATCTGACTTGATCTCTCGCGAATTAATGCCTTTTTTATCGTTTCCATCTGCATTTATCATCAGCGATTCCCTGCCTCCTTCCCCTCCTCTCTCTCCGCCCCACACTAATACCCCCTTGGTGTGTTACCGTCTGTCTATTGGTTGATGAGAGAATCCGTCAGTGTGTGTAGGTGGAGGTTTTGTTGAACCCGCGCAAGACGCCGCTCGGTCGAGTACGTACATGCCAGATGACGCTCCTGCCCCCCACCTTGCCCCCCATCCACCCCCGATCCAGGAACGACGTTGTCTCCCCGCAAGACACGCGTTAAGGGCGAGCAGACGTCATGAAGTGCGTTGGCGAGACGCACTTAATGCCTTCTTGCTTGCTTGCTAGTGATGGCTCGGTCTTGGTATGGTTCGACGGTTACCAGTGATGGCGGCTTGTTGGTTGTGAATACTGGCTGGCTGGTGAGTGGGAGGGAGGGCGAGGTGGGGGGCAGGGAGGAATTATTGACTTACAGGCTTAAGTGGGAGTGAGTTGAGGAAAGGATTGAAGAACAGTGACAAAGGCGCACAGGCACATATTCGAGTGCAGATACAGACACGAGCGTACACAGAGCCACACGTGCACACTCAGAGGGGGAAGAATAGAGAGAAGCGGATGATGACCGTCTGTTTGTTTTTACATTATATCGTCGCGCCATTTTACACACAAAAAATCCATTATATCCGTGTATTTTTCCCCCTGACAAAGACCCCCTGGCGCCGGAATTCGGAGCTCGCAAGAGCTCATCATTCACCCAAATAGAACGATGTCAGCAGTGTCAGCGGCGCCACGAGCAAACAGATGTCTTGGCGAGTTCACGTTTCCCGTCCAGGCTAGAATGACAGGAAGTGACGTCACTGGACAGCTGAGGTTGGGCAGTGGCTGTCACATCCTCGCTGTGTATGGGGTTTCCCTGCTGTGTCTTCGAAGGGGTCTCCGTGTCTTGGGTCCTTAAGGATTTCGTCTTTCCATTGTCGGCTATCGAGCTTGTATCAGCTGTTTGTAGTTTTATGGTTCGTAAAAAAAAAAAGGTGAATAAGTGGGTTCAATAACGTCTTTTTTATATTTTCCAAAGAAGGAATGAATGAAAAAGATGAAGGGAAATTATTGAAAGTAGATTAATGCTGAAATAGCGAAATACGATCAGAGAGAGAGAAAGGGACAATGTGAAAAACGTTAAAAAAAAACAAACAGTAAATGAAGACAAGAAATGAGAATGAAAGTGAAAGTTAGGAAAAAATAATAAATGAAAGTGATGCGCGTTGTGTAGAAAGACAAGGTTGGCTATCAGGCGTTGGCCGTTGAGTTCATTGGCTACGAGTTTTGTGCTCTCTCTCTCTCTCTCTCTCTCTCTCTCTCTCTCTCTCTCTCTCTCTCTCTCTCTCTCTCTCTCTCCTCTCTCTCTCTCTCTCTCTCTCTCTCTCTCTCTCTTCTCTCCTCTCTCTCTCTCTCTCTCTCTCTCTCTCTCTTTTTCTCTTTTCTCTCTCTTTCTCTCTCTCTCTTTCTCTTCTCTCTCTTCTTTCTCTCTCTCTCTTCTTTCTCTCTTCTCTCTCTCTTTCTCTCTCTTTCTTTCTCTTCTCTCTCCTCTTTCTTCTCTTCTTTCTCTCTCTTTCTTTCTTCTTCTTTCTCTCTCTCTCTCTCTCTCTCTCTCTCTCTCTCTCTCTCTCTCTCTCTCTCTCTCTCTCTCTCTCTCTCTCTCTCTCTCTCTCTCTCTCTCTCTCTCTCTCTCTCTCTCTCTCTCTCTCTCTCTCTTCTCTCTCTTTCTCTCTTCTCTCTCTTTCTCTCTCTTTCTCTCCTTTCTCTTTCTCTCTCTCTCTCTCTCTCTCTCTCTCTCTCTCTCTCTCTCTCTCTCTCTCTCTCTCTCTCTCTCTCTCTCTCTCTCTCTCTCTCTCTCTCTCTCTCTCTCGTTCTTTCATTCTTTCTCTCTTCTCCATTTCGTATACCCTTCCCAGTATTTTTTTCGAGAGACAGCGGACACAGAATCCTCTTTAGTGTGATTGTGAAAACGAAAGATGAATGCGGCTGTTATTTAATGACTTAATTAAGTGTTTTTGCCGGTCAGGTGAAAGAAGATTTTGTTTGTGTGTTTGGAAATTGTATTTGTTTAGGTGTTTTGCCTTCGAGCTTGAATGAGTCGAAATTCGGCTTGCGAGTTCTGAGGCTGTCTTTGTGGTGGGTTTGGGAGGGGTTGGCGGTGGTGGCTTGGCTGGTTGGTTTTACGATGATTAAGGCGACGATGACCCCTGGTTGATGATGCAAGGGTCAAACCTCTTCTATCTTTTTTTGTCTTTATCTCTTTTTAAGTGTTCATTTTTTTTTTCTCCTTGTTTTCGTTGTCTTTCTTTTTACCAATTCTCTCTCATCTCTCTCTCCCCATTTCCCTCCCTCCCTTCTTCTTTTCCCCTCTCTCCTTTCTCCTCCTCTCCTCTCTCCTTCGCTCTTCATGTCAGCGACTTGATCTTTACGTCGCTCGATCTATCTTTATATCTCTGCCCACTCTCACTCCACTCCCGCTCCACTCCCCCCACTCCCACTTTCCCTCCCCACCTTACCTCTACCTGGCTCCTCACACTCCTACCCTTACGTCCATCCTCACACAAACAGACGAAACACCATGACTCCCCAAAGTGTGTATGGCGTGCCTCGTGTCGCGGGTCGTACGAGCGAGCGAGCGAGCGAGAGCATTGCGGGGGTGTGGTGTAGGTCGGATAAAGATTGATGGTGCGATTAGCATGCCCTTTCTGTTCGTTACCATTCCAATGTGGATGATACGCACCTATCTGAGTCAGCTGTCGCGTCCTCTCAAGGTCCTTTTGGGATCTGGTTATGATTAAGAGGTTGTTTTTGTTTGTTTATGTGTATGTGTATTTTTTATGTGTATTTCTGGGAATGTAGGTGTTGAGAGTATTGTTTTTTTTTTTTATTTAGTTTTTGACTTTTTTGTTCAAGGTCGTTGGTAGTTGGGGAAAAAATAAGCGTTATCTAAACAGAAAGGGATTTTATATGCAATGCAAATGTTATTATATTTGTTGCCAACAAATGTATATTAAGTTTTGGATCCTGCGTCTGAGAAGGAGAGAGAATATGCAGATGATGAATTGCAAATTAGCCGCACAGAGGTTTGCGGTGCGAAGAATGGAGGGAGCCTTTGGGGAACGGCGCGGACGTAGCGAAAACCGCAGCCGCAGAGAGAGAGAGGAAGAAAGATATTGAAAGGAGCAATGATAGAAGGGAAGATAACCAGGGGAATGGGAGAAAGGGGGGGGGGTGAGAGAGGGAGGGAAAGAAGGTTAAAGAAGAGATAGGGAGAGAAATAAAGATGGAGGAGGAGAAATAGATGTGAAGAGAACGCATCACGTGGCTGGAGGCGTGGGGGATGGTGACACTCTCCTTGACCTTGGAGGACGGCCGGAGGGAGAGGGGGGAGGGTAAGAGAGGGGAAGGACGGGTAGGCTCTCACTCTCTCTCTGTCTCTTGTGTGTATTATTCTCTCTCCATCTTTTGTTTCTCTCTTTTTCTCTTGATATTACTGTGCCTGTTTCTCTTTTCATCCTCTCTCTCTCTCTCTCTCTCTCTTTACCTGCAGTGTACTTTTTCCGAGCCCTCTTCTGCCTTCTATTTTCTTTTTCCCTGTCGTGTACTCTCTCCACCTCTCCCCTGTGTCCCCTCCCACCCCCTTTCCATTCCATATTTTTTTCCCATTTTGCCTATCTGCCAACTTTCTCCCTCGCGTCCATCCTTCTCAACCCTCTTCTCCCTTATCATCATGTTTTCCCTTCGCCGACGCCTGGCACAGTCGCCTTTCCCTCCCCCCTCCTCCCCTCTCCTCCCCCTCCCCCTCCCCCTCCCCCTCCTCCTCCCCCTCTTTTCCAAAGTGGCCGATGACTCAGGGCTCGGGATCAGGGACGTGCAACCCCCTGCGCCCTAAATCCCCCTTTCCCCCCCTGGATGGATATTTTTTGTTAACGAACAGGGGGCGCCTATGTCTTGTGTGTCTGCGTCTGAGTGAGTGAGAGTGGTATGTATGTGTATATATACATATATGTATATATATATATATTGTTGTGTTTGTATATATATATTGTTGTATATATGTTTATTTAGATGTTTATATGATGAAAGAATTAGGCACATACGCATGCGCGCACCTACAGTATACCCGTGTGAATGAACATGTGTAATTTGGTATGCATTCTGAAACCTATAATATGCCTTCATATTAGGATAAGGATAAAGTGAGAGAGTGAATGTGTGTTGTGTGTGTGTGTGTGTGTGTGTGTGTGTGTGTGTGTTTGTGTGTGTGTGTGTGATATCATGGGAAACATTAGCTTATCAGCGGTGTGGGTTACCCCTTAGGAAGAAGGATGGGAGAGGAAGTACTTTACCTAAGAGCCTCTCCTACTGTGCTTATCACTGCGGCCTTTCATTCCCTGCGTCGTTTCTTCTGCAACTCCTCCTTTCCTCCTCCTATCTTCTCTTCTCTTTTGTTATCTTTCACTCACTTCTCTCCTTTTTTTCTCTCCTTCCTTTTTACACCCCAACCCCGTTTCCCTCCCTCCCCTACAGTCCACACAACTCCACTCTCCTCCCTTTCTTTTTCTTTTCATCTTTCTCTGCTTTCTCTCTTTCATCTTCCCTCTTTCCTTCCTTCCGTCCTTCTTTCATCAGAGGCCCACAAGACCTTACCATTTGTGCATTGTTTGAAGAGGAGAAAGGAGGGGAAGGATGGGGATTGGGGGCATACAGAGGGGGGTTGGGGACTTACGGAGGGGGGTGGGGAAAGGTCAAGCAGCATTAGTGGTGCCTCTCGGTGCCTTCCTCTCGTCCTCGTGGCATTGAGGAGTCATGGGGCTCGAGAGAAGTTCATGGTGGGATTGGGCATGGATGGCAAGTTGAGATTTTTGTTCCTTAGATTTAGTTGTTAGTAATAATTTATCGTT